CATCGCTGTGGGTTAGGTGGGGAGGAGGGGGGGGCAGGGTGCAGAAGGGACGAATCTTTCCGCAAATTAGGTTGTAAAAGCTTCATACCTTCCATGAGTTTTGTCCCACCCCCAGTGATTTAATGCTTTTCCTTTTTGGCAATGCAAAGTGTGGATATTGATTACCTATGCGATGAATCGATTGCCAACGCGTATGGCAGTACTCCCGGTCCTCGCCTGTATACAGTTTTGAAGAACCGATTCTCACTGTCCGACATCTGAAATTCGAATAAATGCAGGCATATTATGCAGACGTGATGGAGTTACATGGACACCGACAAGAGATCCGTGGGAAACTCCGCCCCTTTTTGAAATTATTTTCCAGTAGAAGGTAAGGTAGGCAGTTCAGAAAGTCAACAGGATACCGAGAAAATAATGGATGAAAGAAGGTAAAGGGAAACTTGAACGCCAGTGAAAATCAAGGGTTCAGAAGGGACTAAGCTGCTGGCGGAAATATCCACCAAAGGGGCGGAGTTCCCCACAACCACAAATCGAAATTGCTGTACACTTGTTGTCGATAGGGAATAAACTTGATACATACACATAGCACCTGCTCTATACTAAAAAGGAACTTACCATAATGGCATTCCGTGATTTTGCTGTCCAATAAATATTTCCGGAAAACTCGTCCACTGCTATGCTGTCGGGATCGTACATGGCTATATCACGGAGATCCTAAATCAATATATTGATTGAAGAAAAAATGTGGACAATCGGCCCAAAAGGTTAGAGCCGGTGAGAAAAGAAGCTTTCCGGGGGAGGGGGAATTACTTCACCTTACGCAGCAAATGGACCAGCTGTGGGTAGATTTGGCCAGATGCCAGAAAGGAATCGCGTGTGCATGAAAGCTTTTCAGATTGCGGGACGACCTAAACTCTCGAGGCAGGTGAGCGTGGGATAAAGATAGGTATTGATTGGTTGGCTGCAAAAGTATAAATTGGATAACACACGATGTGAGAGAATGACAGAAAGTCACTTTGAAGGTCTAGGTATAAAAAGGCAAAACAATCAGAGCCGATCATTTCTTTACGGGATGCGCCACGCATTCTAATCCCAGTCACAATCGCAGCGGCACATTCCGTGACTTGCTGAAGCTGCCCGATGCGCATTTCAGTGCTTCCAGAGCGCGGTTTCAATGCTTCTATGCATTCCAAACCAGTTCGGTGCATGTAGGCCCCTGATAGAACGGAGCTGTTGATTGTTGGGCAAAAATTGTCAGATTTGAGCCCGGACCATATGTGTGGTAACGGCGCTATTTGCTACTGTCCCGCTCACACCCAAGAGCGAATAATAGTAATAAACACTTACGATGCTCGTTCCATTCATGAACGCTCTTCCCACAGTCTCGTTATCATCTATCCAATATACGGAAGAAGTGCTGAATGAAATAGATTTCTAATCAATAAATCGATAACAGTACCAAGTGCTATTGCTAACCGAGCATTGTACGCCACAGCACGTCCAGTCGAAGTATTGATTGATAAGGTCTGATAGGAGTCTCTGAAGGAAGTGATACGCACGACGTCACTTGCCACTGCGATCAGCATCGGTGGAACGGCTACAATATCACACGGTCATGCGCGATTTATGGGACACCTACGGCCGCGACAAAACGCTTACCTTTGGACCTCAATTTACAGCCACGCCCATCGCTCTCCAGCAGGTAAGCAGTTCCACAGGCACACTCGTACTTACCGTTACCTTTCTCGATACAGAATTGTGAGCAATTCGACGACGAACACCGATCACCCACTGAAAACAAGTGTTTTTAGAGGAATTTTCGGTGGACGCCTGTGATTGGCCGACGGCACCTGTCTACGTCGTGATTGGTCAAATTTGAAAAGACTTACTGATACATCTGGCAGGGTTCTTCGGATCGACCACCTTTGGCGGACGACATTCACAACGATACGCAAACGGTAAGTCGACACACTGCTCTTCGCACAAGTCGAACTTGCACTCGTTCACGCCGCACATCGTCTCGGCAAAGTATTTCAGGCTGAAAATAGCTTTTTGGGCTAAATGTAGCCTGATAAAGTGGTTTTCAAGTCATCTCCTATCTAACCAATACCGATCTTTACCATACAACTATGACAAGTACCCCGCTGCCATCTCTTCACTGGCCCTTTCCCATATGGGAACATACGATTCCCATTCGATTAATAGGGTAATGCAGTGATCATGTTTCCTAAATGGCACCTCTAACGCCAAACAACTGTACATACAGTGCAGTGACTTCACGATTCATTGTAATACACCACTAAATGAATTTTGCGCATGCTCCGCCCATTCCCCCCCCCCAAAGCCCGTCCTCACTTGTAAGTTGAACCACGTCTCATCCGCTAATCAATCGTCCTCACTAATCACTCTATTTATTTTATGCCACCCTTCAAGCCGCTCCAGCAACTTCACTTTTTAATGCAACTCGCACAGCGAACATCGCCGATGACATACGGCACACACTGCCATCTATGTATGCACAGCGATTCTTTGGCTTTGCAAGTTCAAGGAAGGCCATCGGTAAGAAAGTAACCGTGACGGCTATCGTGTTTTACCTTTTTTGATTGCCCTTCCAAGTTTCCCCTTTTATTCCGTGGCTTCCAGAGCCTCTACGTACAACTGTATGCCATCCGTTCTTATCTTAAAAGGATATCCTACGATGAGTTTAAGTGGATTAATCCCATTGGTAGACCGGATACAGGTACTGACTCAATTGCCAGATGTACCGTCCCTTGGCTCGAGATTGCGCGATAAAAGCGCTGAGGCATTTTTAAGACTGCTTCGATTGCTTTCCCTTTTCCTGATTCGAGTGTCTGCGCACTCTTGTCCGTCGTGTTCTATCGCCCATCCCCTCTCCTCCACGCTCACTCTCTCATTGCCTTAGCATGACCGAATGACAAAAATAAGAAAATCTCTTAGTTATGTATGCTTTCGATGAATTCTATTACGTGGCTGTCAGCCCACTTCCACCCCTGTTTTCATTTTGTTGCAAGGGTCACACCAATTCGGTCATGGGGCATCCCTTTTACGCTTAGAGCTAGAACGCGCCACGCATTTCATTTCCATCAAATCCTGATCGCAGTTGAATGAACTTGGGCCAGAACAGTGACTTGGGAGGAGGGCGTTTCAGCCTCCACTTAGTACGGCATCAATAGAAACGATGTTTGATCGAGGACAGACCTGGCTTAGCCCTAGCGGATATCAGGTTTCAGATATGCTGCTGCTCCTTTTTGGACCCGATGGAGGTTAAATATGAAGCAAAAGTAAAATCTTAGTTGAAACTTGCTTACTTCTCACATTCGTGACTTTGATTACAGATCATCTCCTGTGACACGCAAGTAGTGCGTTCGCCTTTTACGCAAGTGACCTCGTCTGCTGCGCATTCCGAGGAACGGGTCGTACACATCTGAATATTGATTTTATTGATTTTTCCGGTAGAAGCAGACGTTTAGAAGACCGAAATTCAGATGAAGTTGATTTTCCGATGAAAAAATGATCAAGACTTGTACAACAACCATTAACACGTCATTGAAAATTAAATCGATGTTCACAAGTGCTGACGCGTCCCACAGCCAACCGCGACGCAACCGCGTTTGCGGGAACGCCCACCCCTTCATTGAAAAACCGCGAACGTCCACTGTGAATTACCTGCTTCTCTTCATCGCTTTTATCCGCACAATCCGTTATTTCGTTACAAATCCATGAACTGGGAATACACTGCCCACTACGACATCGGAACGAGGACTCATCGCAACGGTCTGGCCTGGCTGAAAATGGCTGCATGCTTAAAAAATCGGACCAGAACTTGCTCTACTTAAACAATGGGACGGGGATATTGGAATGGAATGAATTAGTTCACTCACCGCATTCTGTCAAATTCTCATCACTACCGTCCACACAGTCAGTGACACCGTCACATTGATGTATGGTGGACAGACAAGTGCGATAACTCGTCCCCACAACGCGACAGTAAAACTCGTCCGACGTGCATGTTGTTGCCATATCTGAACAGTAGGGAGCTACAAGGAGCAGTAATGAAACATCTCCATCAAAATGGAGGGGAATAAGGAAGAACAGTGAACGATCCCACGCATATTCCATCAGAAGTCGGACCAGGGTTATCGTAACTCGGTGCGGGTGGGCTTTGCCGTTTAGGTGGGGCTTAGAGCAGCAGGGTAAAAAAAAACTCAGCAAAGGAACGAGATGTCAGAATTACAAATGCTCACATTTCTTCTGAACTCTCCAGCCCTACCTCATGAATATTGACTTAAAGCCACATGACACGAAAATGTGGTCGCCTATGGAATGAAAAGAAAAGGTGGGAAAGGTTGCGATTTCGAAGAAAAACTGAGGAGAACGGCCTTAACCAGCGAAACGAGACCACCTTTTCCCCGTTTGGTCGCCGCCGTAGTCGAGTAACATCGGTGTTGAAGTCATCAACATTAACGCCTGCTCTCTCCTCTCTGCTTAAACGGCTAGAAGCCTATGGCGACTTGGGTAGGAAACCAGTGGGCGGGCACAGAGATGAGACGTCAGGACCGCAAGGCCTTCCCCGCTCAACGGGCGCACCCTTCGCCCTCAAAGCGCCACTTTCCTTTTCCTGAGAGCACGGAATTTCTTTATTATGAGCACACTTGCCCTTCTTTGGCATACAATTTATCGTGGCACCTGTCTTTAAGTCAGGCCTTCCTATGCTGAAATTAGGTCAGGCTCTTCTACTATAAATTGGTGTTCCTATCTCTAAGTAGGTTTTCCTACTATGAATTGATGCAAGATGTAAGAAAACATTAGCGCTTTACCTTTATTCCTAACAGAACAATCAAGAATGCGGGCCTAGCTGGGTCACTACGACTATACCGTAACCTTAACCTAGCCGTTTTCGTCCGCCAAAACTAATAGCCTTACCAGTACAGTTGTCCTCGTCACTGCTCAACCCGCCATTGATCGCGTCAGCACAGTCGTCGGCTCCATCGCATACCCAACCGAGGCTGATACATCGTCCATTACGGCATCGGAACGAACTGCCATCGCAATCACTACAAAACAGGAATAAACATCGCTCCATCCACCGAAAGCTCGGAATTATCTCCAGTGAAAGCTACTTACTCGTGAATCAACGTCTCAACGCAATCCGCCTCATCACTTC